ATTCCCAAGCTCCTGGGCACGGACGCGCAGTCCTACGACTACGCGGGCGTCAAGCGCTGGACGAAGAAGTTCGACCTCTTCTCGTGCAAGCGCGTCTTCTTCCCCGTCAACATCGTCGACACGCACTGGACCCTCGTCATGGCCGACCTCGAGCGCAAAGAGCTCGCCTACTTCGACGGCTACGGCGATGACGGCGAATCCTACCTCCGCGGGATCCGCCAGTACCTCCGCGACGAGCACGAGGCCGAGAAGGGCGTGCCCCTCCCCGACGAGTTCACGTTCGTCGACACGCTGTCGGTGACACCCGTCCAGAGGGACGCCAACAGCTGCGGGGTGTTCGTCGCGTTCTACGCGAACTACTTGTCCCTCGGCCTGCCGCTCAACTTCAGCCAGGCCGACATCCCCCACTTGCGCCAGCGCATGATGAGCGACATCCTCGACGGTAGTTTAGCTACGCCACGGTAGGTTAGTTGAGTAACGTAAGGGCGCCTAGTCAGTGCGTAGTCGCGCGAGGCCGCCGCGGAGAGGCCGCCTTCAAGGAGGCCTTCAAGGTACCCCAAGGAGCTGGCCGTGCCGCTTCCAAGTCTAAAAGCATGGCCGACGTGCCGCCGCTTTATGACGAGGTCTCCTATGAGTTCTACTACCAGGGCGAGTGGTTCGAGACCGCGCCGGCGTTCCCGGCCCTGTCCGCCGCCGAAGAAGCCGACGAACATCGATTGCTTCGCGAGCACTTCGAGGAGCACTACGATCGACTCGACACGCAGAACTGGCTGGACTTCGTCGGCGCGTCGACGCTCGACCGTCTGCTCAGGCAAGCGTTGCACTACAACTACGCGCGGGCCGTGTCGCTGCTCCTCGCCGCGGGCGCGGCGCACGCCTTCGTCGTGGGCTATCCGCCGCGCCTGCGCCACGCGCTCACGTACTGCCGGCGCGCGGACATCGCCGAGATGCTCCTCGACGCGGGCGCGGACATCGAGCTCCGGGACGGCGGCTACACCCCTCTGGAGGTCTGCCTCTTCCTCGACAGACCGGCCATTGCGCGCGTGCTCCTGAGCCGCGGCGCGGACGTCGACGCCGTCGACCTCGCGCGGCCGCGGTCGATGCCAATGCGGTGCTACCGGCTGCTCCGCGCCATGCGCGCGGCCGGCAGCTGGCGGGCGTACGTCGACCTGCCCCGCCAGGAGCTCCTCGGCTTCCGCCGGCGCCTCCTGGCCTTCCGCCGCCTCCTGTTCCGCCGCGCGTTCCCGCCGACCCCCTCCCTGCACGAGCGCCTCTTCTTCGAGGTGCCCGAGGATGTCTTCCGCCACGTCTTCACCTTCTGGCGCGGCCCCCGCGACCTCCGCTAGGGGGGCGACTCGTAAAGCTCCGCACCGCGTTCTGCCGCTCCGCGAGGAGCGCGCCGACGCCCGCGCAACGAAAGGGACGCGTGGCCCACGTGGACGGGGCGTACGTCCTGGCGTGCGCGTCGCGAGAATACAGATCTACACCGCCCCTCGCCGCGCCGAGGCGCGAAACGGTCCGCCGCGTCGCCGTTACGACGTCGTTCCGGGAAAAAGCGTATTTTCCCCACGATCCTCTCCGTAGGGGCTCTCTGGCGAGCCCGGGTCGCGGCGCGAGAGGCCGAG